TAGTATGCCATTAAAGAGGTTCATGAGCAGCGATCGTGTGGTGAAGCCACCACAATGGACCTCAACACGTTCTCGATGGCTACCTCAACTAATGCATCTTCGGTGTCATTTGGGTGAAGAGAAGGAGATGTATACGAGCAATTGATGTGTCCAAACTAGATCGAAGTAATCGAGGTACATTGGCCGAAGACGCACACGAACAACTTAAACCAGTGCGCTGTACTAAGTTGATCAGTCAACTAGAAATAAATTAAGTCACGATCGGCAAGCGATTCGTCGATCCGAGTAAAATAAAAGGTTGTTGCACGTGCGTTGGCTCGGTCTTGCTTTCTAAAAATCAAAACTACGGAGACCAGATCGGAAACACAAACAAGCTCACGGAGGCTTCCACTTCAGATGACAACCCTACGAAACAACCAAGAACCGAACCACTCTGAAGAAAGCAGTATCTTGAAGAAAAAGAATGCGGAGGAGGCTCTAAGACTGGTCGAGTTGTTGATTAACCACGCGACTTGCTAATTCAGATATTTTAGTGAAGCGCACTGGACGAGGCAATCAAGAAAGAAGAGATACTAAGACATAATGACATGCATATTTTTTATACTTAAAATCCAGTTGTCTACGTCACCGTGTCGTCGATATCTTCATCATCGACACTCGAAAAGTACCCACACAACAATTCACAACCCTCTGCGTCGTCTTCCTCCATTCCTACCTTGACATTCGATGGGATAAACTTGTCGATATCTCGTGGGTGAATCTTTGGGCACTGCGTCACATCCACGAACTGCCTATCACAGTTTAGAAATGCGGACATTTCCACATTTTGAGGTGCTATGGAGCCTCGCTGCGGAGTTACCAACTGTCCTGCTATACCAAAATCCCGCTCTATTTGAGTGGAAGATGAAGAGATTGCGAACAAAACCCTTGCTACAAGTGGAAGGTACTTGTACGCGCCAGCCTTCGCTTGGCGCATCCAGAATTCTAGCATGGTCTCAGGGCGACTTGCGTTGGTCTGAATGGAGCAAGAATTTGTTTCCCAGCTCTCCAACCCTTCGTCGACGCGAGCTGAATTAAGGTCTTGGACTCTTTCAGGTTCGGTGGGCTCATCGTCAATAACATCGACAAAAATTTCCATAAGATCCTCGGAGAAAAAACGCTGAAGGTGCAGGATGCTGCTCTTCAACTAGTGGTGTTGGCCGTACATCCCCTGGGGCAGCCACAGCTTCCATAATTGATCGGACCTTGCCGATCAATTATGGAAGTTTCGTCGATCGTCTTTCTAATCTTGGTGAAGTGTCGGTCTCCTGCTGCAGTAGCAGCACAAAGACGAGCTCACGAATTGAGATAGATTCATCATATTCTCCGAGGCAATAGTGGAGATTATTGTTAACGATGCGCAGCGTTTCCATGAGAACATAAACTCGTGCGGGGTCGTCGCAAAATAACTGCGAGCTACGAACACGATCGAGGTCTTCGTCATAGGACCGTCGCTTTTCTTGGCAGGCTTCAGTTCGCTCTGAGGTGACATCTTGGGCTTTTTTTTTTAGGTGTTTGGTGGCTGCCGATGTCTTGCCACTGGAAAGTGGAAATGTTACCCCACTCTCTGCAAATATCACCGGTCAAGCGCATCCAAATAGCCGGCGAAGAATATCGGCCTCCACTGACGGGTACTCAGGGGCTTTGACTAGGCGAACCCCAAAGAAAAAAAATAATGGATTCTTCGTTTCGTCTTGGAGGAAGAACGATAAATCCATCGGGTGGCTCGAAAGAGTTTATAGCATCGCGGATGCCTGGCGGGAGCGGATGCATTATTTTGCTGGAGGTTCAAAACGTTGGTCTGCTGATCGTGAACGTCCGCGGCAAATTAAGAAATGGAGCGATGTTATTATGAAGTAGTAACAGGCTACAGACGCACGCACTTCTAGAAATTAAGGGTGGGCTGGGGATATGCTTGTGCTGTACCCTTCTAGCGCTCAGAAAGGCGCAACGCCTTGTAGACAAGTCATACGTTCAGCGGTGACGTATCCTGATGCCAATTTACTGCGAGAAAGGATCGTTCTTTGGCGCCGTTTTAGTGACGTTTTGTGGAAGATCGCCAGTAACAAAATAATGGAATTGCGGTTTCATTTCCAATCTTGGGAGATATGGGGACGGAGACGGTAATCCCGGCAAAACCTCCTCCCTCTGGATACGGGAGACAGTGATTCCGGCGGAACTGTATCCAGCTGAGGCGTCTCCTCGGAGGCTTGAAAAACTCTGTTTCACGTCACATTTATATAGCATACGAGACTGATGGTGATGAGCAAATCGTGCGCGTATACAGCAATGAAGCATACTCACCCATCAATAGTCGTCATGAAAATGCGGCGGCCATTGATTCGTTTGTGAAAACCAAGATTCTCAAGCCAAGATCCAACACAAGATATGAGGTGCTTGTTTTAAGACCCTACAGACTATTTATCAGCTTACACACAAGTTGCGCTTGGCTAGGGTCCGCAAAAGCTTGACATCGAAATTTGGCAGGGTGATTGGAGAATGTGATACACATTTTTCTTTTGTAAAAGCTGATTTCGCGACGAGAAGTGGTAGGAATAACGGCTAGCCTCCACGAATTAAGCAAAATAGAAGTAAAATGGACAGCTGGTATCCCACAAGCCGCCAATAACGCTTGTGATATGCCTCGTTTTTCTTGTTAAATGCACCTTGTCTACTAAATCCATGAAATACTAAGTTTTGCTTGTAGGTGTAGGGCAATCTACGTGAATGAAATATAACGCATTACAAAACTTCGGAGTCGAGAACTGCTATAAGACTTCTACAGTGCGACATCATTGTCTTCGTTGAAAATCCAACGTCCATTATGACCACGCCGCTATGGTGGAACCATTTGATTCAAGGGTATCTTGTGTCATTCCTAGTGGCCGTTCGGCCAACCATTCAGGAGAGCGGTAGTGAGAGGACACTATCCACAGCGCAATTATAGTAGCGTGGTATATTTCAATATGGTGATGAACGTCGTCGATATCTTGGCACACCGATCTACGACAAGTATTTCATGCTGATAAACTATTATCGCAGATTCCATCGCGATTTAGCGCTCGATGTGTTCGTCAAATGATTCTCGTTTTTGCTCTAAATACACATTCATATATACTAAACGATCGTTCATATGCTCGCGTGTGATCTGAACATTGATTTGATGCGATATCCATTTGAGATTGTACCTTCATAATATAGAACGTGCAGACCTACCTTCGAGATATCTGTGGTGGAAAGGGGGTCGCAAAATCACGTTGCGATCCACTCTGACACACAGCGCCCTGGACGTCCGACTAACGGACGGGGTACTCCGATAATCGTGGGGTTGCTGAGGGCTCACCTTGTGTACCCGTCGGCGGGGCTGGTTACACTCCTCTGGTGGACTTGATGGGATGCTTGGCCTGGGCTGGTCCCGGCTTGGCGGGATGCAGGATGGTGGGGTTGCACAGCTTGGATACTCTTCAGGCTACGTGCCAGGTATGTTGTCGATCTTGATCGACTTGGGGTGTGGTTGTTCCTCTACGAGGTGGGCAGGGGGGGGGGGGGTCCTTGTTCCTTCCTTGCGAGGCTTGACCGCTTCCTATAGCGGGGTAGTTGAGGGTGAGAGCGGAGACGTGCAAACTCCGGCGACTGACACGTGTACTTGATAGAAATAACTTGATTACTGTATGAGCCAATATACTTCCCGCTACAGCTTCCAATATTGTACCGAAGACACTTGTTCCTGATAAGGCAAATTCCACTCTGTTATTCCTTTAAGTCCTAGCGGTCCACTACCTTCTACCCATCCTATGATTGCTCAAAACTGGCCCTTTGTGGTACCCATCAATGGGTACAAATCAGTCGATCTACTACCACTTCGAACCGGAGTTATCGAAATGATTGCACCATATCGGACTAGATCGGCGATCAATGATTGCACCTTGTCATTCCAGTCTTGACCAGAATGACGGTGCCTCCAGAATGATGGTTCGGGTCAGAATGATGGTTCTGGTTGCGCACTTGAAGTAGGTGACCCCTCGCAGCTGACTGGTCCATTTCCATCCGTCTCATATTCTCCAAATTACTCAATCGCTTTACCACATATCCATCGAAGTTTGTAACCACCGTATCATCCAGAGAAACTCGTGAGTACGTCCATTTTCGAGCACAAACATATATCTCACACATTTACTTCGCCAGCAGCCGCGCGACGAAGTCGTCAGTGACTCATGTAGATCTGAACACAGGCTCTTATTTCTAGATCGATCCAATTAGTCCATATAACCTTGAACTACTTAAATAGTGGCGTACGCGGTTATCGTCAGACATGTACAGAGAATTGAGATTATCAAATTCGATCTTGGGGTTGCAGCAATAGTATGACATTGCCTATTATAGGAAGAGTTACTCGTTTAATAACAATACATAGACACCACGCGATTATGTGCTGCTCAATTATCTTGATTACCGTTTGCAGCCTCACAAAAATATCAGAATTTAATATTACGCCTTCAAGAAGATATGTGAAATGTAAATAGCTGCCCTCATGAATATGCATACGAAGATTATGACGATTTCATGAAAGAGTACAAATAGATTCCCATGTGTTCGCGAAATCGTAAAGAATGTTTTATTTGATTTCGGAAATGATGACGGTACATTAAGCCCTTTATAAAGTGATAGTTTAAATAACCAGGCATTGACATTTTGCTGGAGCACGCATGTTAGAAAAAAAAATCGTGATCGTTCTAATAAAGAGCTTTTTCAATACAGCTCACCCCCGTATACATTTAATTCATTGAACGGAATTACCGCAGGTGTAGTTAACGGTTAATTTTATAGCAGACCGGAGAAGTAAGTATTTTTGGTTTATATCTCATGTTTGTAGTGCAGGGCATATATGAGCAAGCCCTGTTAAGGTTATCAACAGCAACAAATTGATTGGTCACTTACCAGTAAGAGCCAGCCCGATCACTGCATGATGAACCCAAGGTAATAACGCAGCACAGGATGACCAGCGTCTGCATATGCAGAACTTGGTGACAATCCAGATGCATAACGACAAACGCGTTGACATCAACGACATCCAATCAAACAACTAGGTCACCGAAGGCAAGACATGTCTTCGGCATGAGTTAGGTTAGATGAGGATCCTCACTTTGCAAGTTACCAGCAAATAAATTTAGCGGTAACTTCCTGGAGCTTCCTCCAGCTCCCCCGTGTGTCTTCAGTTGCCTGAATACACCACAATGTTAAATGAACGCTCTGCCTCGTCAATGGCGCATCCCAAAACACCATCCATTTTAATGACGACTCGCCATTAAAATGGATGGTGTTTTGGGATGTGTGATGCGATCAAAGGATGATTTGCCCACAAAGTAACCCGACGGTGATACAATAGATTATTGAATGGCTAGATGGGCTAGTATCCTGAAGTTGGTCTGGTATCTGGATACAAGGTCAGAGTATGATCTACAACAAATTAGTGCGGACGCGCGCCAAATTAGCATTGTGTACTGTAGTTCCCGCTTTCGTATGCTAGCGACTTTAGTCAAATTTCAGCAACAATACCCCCGCTCTGTCGTCAGCTCTTCCCCGTGATATTGGCCTCTCGAACATTAGATCATCGAACAAAGTCAAATAACATGTTTCCGATCATTGGGTCAGCCATTTCCGACGTGGAACATGAATCTCAGATACATTTTCCAGTAGCAAGCGCTCCATCCAAGATCAAGTTGCCCATCAAATGTGTAGCCACTATCGCGTCGGGGATAAGTGACTTGATACTGATATTGCTGAGAGCAAGGCGCGGTTACAAAATGTATGTACTGCCATCACCGTTTGTGTTACCCACCACTACAGCAGAGTCTGTAGCGCCGACATAACCCTCGCTTGTAACACCTCGTTTACCAATGCCGTTGCACCCGCTTGTGTTGTCACCATCGTCGCTGCTCTTAGTGGCAGCTAGCAGACTGCTGCTGCTGGCATCAAATGCGGTATTTCCATGCCCCTGAGGCTCCTTCACTGGATCTATAAGCATAAAAAGTATTAAAGCATGGCAGCAAAACAGCGTAACTCACCTTCACGCTCAGCAATGGTGCTCATTGATGCAAGAGCTTCTCGGTTCCCGTCGCTGCCTGCGCTGCCACCTTCGTCGCGCTTGTTGCCACGTCCGTCTCCGATCTTGGTTCCCTCTGCTGGACGTAGCGTTGCCACCAATGCCGGTGCTGGCACTGCTTCCACGTCATTTTAATCTTTCTTTCTCGGAACATAGTGGCTCACATTAATCGTACTTAACTCGACTTTATATCGTGCTGCTACCGGTATTTTGATTTTTACGTGATTTTCACTTAATGTTTTAGTGGGAATGTTTAATTAGAAGTGCAACGTTTAATTTGACTATGGCAACTTTATTGACATAAACACTGCGCAGGATAACGTCGCAGGACGCTCTTCGTTGTCTGCAGTGCAACCTTCAGCCCGAAATTTACTTCCGGGTCTCAGTGCACACATGGGATCGTCTTTCGTCAGCTGCTGGAGGTAAAGATAACAACTTACGCAGGGCAGAGGGAGGGTCATTCCCCTAAATCTTTTTCGATTCCCTATTTTTGATGGTTTTTTAGGATAGTTTCTGTGAAATGTCACCTTGACTGTTAGGCTCGGCCCCCTCTACTTTTGGACGGGCCCCATTAGAATTTAGTCCTGGATATGCCCTTGAACTTGCTACATTCGTTTCAGGCAGCTATTCTTTAGCGGTGTATACCTGCCAAAACTTTTATCACCTCATTCTTACATAAGCATTCAATTATTTATTTGTATCGAACCTAACGATTGTATATCCAACTAAAAGCCCTGGGAGACAGATAGTATACTGTTGCCTAAATTCATAGAGCTTCTTCAGGCCGGAGACACAAATTTGTACATATAATACTGGCGATGTGAAATGATGCACCAAAATTACTTGGAGCATCTCCACCGGCTACAGTTATTGCCAACTCCTATCTATGCAGTTAACACTTCAGACTTTATAATAGACCACTCAGCGCAGAACAAGCTCTCATCGTTGGAACTTCACCGCGACCTAACTAGTTATAGCCAATCAAATAAGCTTACCATAGATCTCTCTGTTTTCTACGTTGATAGGAGAATATGATGGAGTGGAGCGAATCTGCGCCGCACATGTGTTCGACGACGCCGCAGACGAAGTCTATTACTTCAACTACATGGTACATGAAGATTTTCGGCGCACCACGAGTGTATGTCAAGGCATCCAACGTGGCTCCAT